CGGATGGAATGCCTCGTACGTGCAGGCGTGGTCCCTCTGAGGAAAATATGTTGAATGGACCTAGTCATGATCAAAAACCTGAGGCAGTATTGATAGATGCTAATTTTTTTAATGATCTATTACTCTGCAATGACATTCTTAATAAATTTCACGAAAATATTTCAGAAGAATCTAATCCTCATGTCATATCATATATTACCTATTCTCATAATGCATTTGATCCTTGTGAAAAACTTGTTCAATGCGAAGCACGAGTACTAAATGACCTCGATTTTGATTACAATTCGGATGATTTCATATCAACTGAAGTTTACCCTTATCACAAAAACAGTTCTAATGTTTACTCTAAAGAATGTGAGAAATATGTTTTAAATGAAGTCTGTGATGGTTAAAAGTATTCAAATCATTTTACGAACTAAGAATCCCATAAATAATGAAATTATGGACAGGCAGAACTAACTGAGGACAAGCGAATGTATTGTATTTGGAATTCGAGATCAAGCAGTCGTCGAGTACAACGGAATCATTAGTTCATACAAATGCCACACCATCTCTCACCTTTGGTAAGCTGAAGTAACCCAGAGAACTTGCTCAGTAGTATAAAACATTGACAGGAAGTTGGTAATGGGATGACTAAAGGACACAGAGTTGGTATTCGTGTCGTGATTCATATTTTTAAAGATAGTACATTTAAGGTGCTGAGATTATATTATTTAGTGTTGGGGAATAACTCTTGGTGACTCTGAATTTCAATTACGTATGTGTAGTCTCTAGGTAAGTTAAATAGAGTTTCAACGAGTTTTTCTAGTGCTTTTTGTAGATCACCAATGTAGATGATCTGTATCAAATGATTGGGAGCCTACTCGAATTAGGTTAGCCAGCTAACGTTGAAGTCACACCTCACGATTAAGAAATCACGTGGATTACCCTTTCATTGTATCTAGGAACTGCGGCTGTCTTGGTGATCGTGTAGCGTGATGTCGAGTCGCGATTGACTATGAACACCGATACCAAGGAACGCGTGCCAGGATACCCATAAAATCCCCCGGAAGCCAAATATCAGAAGGCAATTAATGGGCCAAGTCGAGATATATTTGCTGGCGATCTCGTGGTATCGAAAGAATACCGAGATCGTGCCAGGATACAAGCTTGGTTACAGAACGTAACCGAATTCGCGCGAGGTCGTAATCAATGGATGTTTTTAGCACAGTTAAACAAAAGCACATTAAAACAAGCACTGGTACAGTTGGTTATAATAATAATTTTTTCATTAAACCAGTCGTATTCTCGTGATACAAGTAAGTCACTACAATTGTATAACACAAATGACCTTATTACAGAAATATGTCAATAGTAGTAGGTAAAAGAAACAGAGTGTAACCACTTCTGCACGCGAGTCCATGACATGTAATTAACTGGTGCGTGTTTGTTGTCGTTCACCTTGACGAGAATTGGCGAACTGTTCGTCACACAGTGATCGGGTTACCAAAGGATTTACCTAGAACTGGGTGACAGTTCACTGGCTCTAAATTTGTGGTTCTGAACTCAAAAAATCCTTGGCGACTTCGTAATTTTACTAGGCAAGCTACGCTATTGACCCACCAAGATTTAGTAACGCCTTTCCAAAAAGTTAAGACAAAAAGATTTTTTCGTGAATGTTTTTCAAACGCTTAAGCAGGAGACCAAATCGCAGGGCATTTTGGGCAGGAACTTTGAAGAGGTGTTAACAGAATTCTTAAATAACCATAACACAGATAAACAAGAAACTGATGACCAATGTTCAGGGCCTCGAAATAATACTTTAGGTCAATTTAGACGTGATTACTGTAGGCGTGAGAATGAATGTTAGGCTACCATGTTTATTATTTTGCTGCTGATATGATTAATTTTCTTAAAGTGAATTTCGAAAGCCGTCAAAAACCACAGTTGAATTGACATAAATTACTATCTTTCTTTCCCAAGGAGTGATGAGTATCTACAATGACTTGAACAAATATCGGTCAAATGTTCAGAAGTGCTTGTAAAGAAAATTGAATTCTTACAGAATTATAAAATTCACTTGCTACTTCCCATTTTCGAAAATTGTGTTTTTTCCTTAAGAAGACAAAGCAATATTGTCACTCCCACTTGTCATGGAGAATATTAAAAGCAAGCGTGGATCATTTGATCGTTCAGAATTCATTTACCCAGGCTGTTCAATCGGAGTTTCATGATGAATCAAACAATTAGTCATAAAAGGTGTTGTCAGTACAAACTATGTAGCTGAAAAGTTGATTTTACCCTAAACTTTGATAATGAAGATGCCATAGGTATTCGGAGTTTGACAACGACTTAACCAGTAACACATTCTTCAGTCTTCAGTAATAAGGATAGGAGGTCTATTGACCTATATTATTCATTGCAATTCGTAATACTGTGGAGGTCCAATCTCGTTTTGAATATATTAACAGAAGGTGCTGATATTACGTGTTCCGGTAGAGAATTCCAGTAATTCACTACTCGGTGCGAGAAACGGAAATCCAGACGTAAACGATTTGATCTCGGTTTTTGAACTTTCTTCGAATGTCCTCTCAAATGATCGGTCCTAGATGGAAGCAAGAGAAGACATGTTAACACCAAGGTCATCGTTCAGTATACGATAAGCCAATATTAGATCACCCCCTATTCTAAGGTAAGATAAAGGAAATAAGTTGAGGTGTCTCAGTCTGTCTTCATAAGATAGGCTAGATAGACCTTGTACCATCTTAGTACCTCGTCTTTGGACTCTTTCTAGAATATCTGCTTCATACTTGAAACAAGGACACGCTGCTTGAATCCCGTATTCTAAATGTGGTCGCACATAAATCGGGTATAGTAATCTAAACATGTCATCGTCTAAATACTGGAAAGACCTACGAATTGACCATAATACCCTATAGCCTTTTGCAGCAACAGCCTTACAGTGACTAGTGGTTTTGAGATCATTGCTTAACATGACTCCTAAATCTTTATAGTTTCTTACTTTGGGTAGCACGAATCCACGTAGTGTATAGCGATACGATTCGTCAGAGTTATTTAACTGGATCACTACACTCTTATTAGGATTTACTTCTAGTGACCGCCTGTCTAACCATGCCACCAATGAGCTAAGATCATCCTGTAATACCATTCTATCCAACATACTATGTATGGGTCTCCAAATCTTTATGTCATCAGCGAATAGTAGAAAGAATGATTTTGCTACAGTTGGCAATTCATTTACACAAAGTAAAGAGAGAAGAGAACCTAAAATTGTAACTTGGAGAACCCAATTTTTTACAGGCACCCACGAGGAGAGAGCCCCATTAACCCTTACCCTTTGTCTCCTGTCATGGAGAAAGTTATTAATCCAATCCACGACTGTATAATGCATTCCAAAACGTTCCAGTTTGAATTTAAGACCAGAGTGGGAAACTTTATCAAAGGCTTTACTTAGCTCTATGAAAATCACATCCACAGGAACATTCCGATCTTTTGCAGCAGCCCAATCTTCTCTTGCAATGAGGAGATTTGTCAAGCAAGATAGGCCTTTCCGAAAACCATGTTGTGCCCTGGAGAAAAGATTATGTCCTTCGACATAATTTATAACAAACATCCTAATGATTTTCTCCATCAGTTTTACAACTGTACTAGTTAAGCTAACGGGTCTATAGTTACTAACTAAATCCCTACTCCCAGCCTTATACACCGGACTTATTATAGCGTCTTTCCAGTTTCTAGGAAGTCTGGGCTGTCTCAGAGACATTTCAAATAGTATCGTTGATGGTTCAGCAATTGCATCTGATATGGCTTTCATAGTCCTAGGATGAATATCATCAGGACCACTGGACTTATCAGGTTTGAGATGCTGAAGTAGCCTTGAAACAGTACCTTTCTCAATGACTACAGGATCCATCAGCGAGCCGTCACGGTCATGATGAATCATTGTTCTAATTCTAATATGAATCTTACCCACCAAGTGAAATCAAAAGACAGGAGCGAGGAGATTCGAAGATATATTTGATAAGCTATCAATATATCGAGGATCGTGTGATCTAATCTGGCTAGCGATTGCAGGGGTTGTTGAGCACGGCATTCCCACTCGTGATCTGGTGCGGATGAATGACCGAGCGCCTTCAGCTAGATGAGTCCACTAAAGCTAACGTGGTCAGCATCCAATGTCGAAAACTTACAGAGCTATTTATTTTGGGGATTTATTTACCGCTACAATAACTCATTTCAGAACGGCAACATAGCATCAAAATTAAATCTTCTGGTTAAAATAAATCAAGGAAATCAAGTTTCTGAGTTAATAATCCCTTTCACTAATGTTTTTAATCAATTCTCAATTGCCTCTTTAGGCCAAATAACATGACTTCATCAACGTTTTTTAATGTAGTTTTGAAGGTCGTTGCATTCTTGAATTTAGGGTCACTAAGCTGGCTCTTGAGGTAGACTCCTTGCCTCTCTACATTTTTGGATACTAAACTATCAAAGTTTAATGGCCATGTATGAACTAGCCAGCGTATTCCTCCTTTGTTACGCTTGGTGATCCACTTCGTATTGTCCATTGTGTAGGTGCAAATATGAGTTTTGGTCACATCACTTGTTGGCTCTTAGTTTTTCGTGTTGATTCGTCGTTGGCTTAGGTATATCTCTTAAGCCTGATGTTGATCCCTTTCAAGCTTAAAAAGCAGTAGAGAGGTTGGGTATATTTACTTGAAATCAGGTGCACAGACACGTAGCTAACAGGTCTCATATAAACAATTCTACTGTCTTCCCGTTTGCATTATGCCTTCGACTTTCGCAAACTTAGAACTACATATATAACAATATATTTGTGAGTAATTACCCATTATAGTGGCTCAGGATCTCGGATTTCTTCTAAACTTGCTTCGTTATCCAAAATAACCACCAAGTTTATCAATCCTTCGGTCTGTACTTTTTAAAATTTTTATTCATTTTATAAAGTCTGTATCGTAATATCGTGCTAATGCGTTTAGGCAGCGATGAGATGTTAAATTGGCCGGTAGCTGAGACTAGCTTATGGACGAACCAATCAGAGTTAATATCACCAGTCATGGATTCGGGGACGTAATTTATCCATTCATTTGGCTAAATCTTACTTAGGCATTATAGCCGATGTCAGTTCGTGATTGCAAACCTGAATCTATCTCTTAGTCCTAACGCATGGCTGTAAGTCATTCCTGATTTCTCACACTTGTTTATAACCAAGTAACTGAACATTATCAAGGTCAATGTAGCTCCACTCAGTTTGTCCATAAATCAGTCTCACTGAATAGACTATTAGGGTTATTACTTTAGGATTTAAATCTAGGTTATAGAAGTAAGTGTCGTAAGTATTAAGTTCAGGAGTAAGGTTTACAGAGTTTTATCCTTAGCAGTTGGAATAAAGCCGATTTTTGAGATGGGAATTTGTAGCTTAGGTGTAGTTTTGTTCTCTGAGCTGGATGGTTTGGTCTTGGAGCTTTCATTGTTCTCCTGAACAAAATTAGCATACAACTCGGGTAGAAGTTTGTTTATCGTGTCAAAACTCTTAATCCTCCGTAATTTCATCATTGTTTTGTATTTTTAAATCATTTCATAAATCTTCATTCTGATCGGCTGTTTTCTGACTAGTTAATGTTTACGTTGCTTAAGTCCGTCTGTATAGTATGGTTTTTCTGATTCTGCATCAAAGTAGACACTAGATTAAACTTGATCTCTGTCTTTCGGTCCTATGACGAGGAACCCGTGATCCCAAAGCTGCATCTGTTCATCTATAAAGATTTCAAAATCCTAATGAAGCAAGACCTGATCATAATTTTAAGGCATTAAAACTACCAAAGGAATTTATTAGAGATCTCTATTTTTAATTAGTACTAAACTCTAGATGACTATGTATAGCATTCAGTACTTAATTAGGAAAAACTTCAAAGAATAAGGGACGGACATTAAAGCTTGTCATTAATTCATCTTCAATATGGTTTTATATTCTCATTTTATTTGTGTTGTTTCTTGTCGTATTAACCTAGACCAGCTATGACATCGAAAAATGTAGAACTTGCTATCGAAACCTGTTTGATCAGAGTATAGCATAGAAGTGATTCCCATCAGTTTAATAAAGTAATGGCAGGTAATATCACTGTATGTCCGGTTATTCTCATCGGTTGTTGTTGGTCAGACATGTGGTAAAGTCGAAGTAGCATTTTCGTACAAAATGGAGAGTATTAATTCATTGAAATAAATACATTGATAAATGTGTACGTGTTCGTCTAAAAGTAATTTCCAAATAAAATTCTGTACAATTACTTCATTTTGTTGTGATTATTCAGTGTTATAAACTGTCACTCATCAAATTACTTTTCTATAGGTGTTTCAATTCAAGCCATGCTTCCAAATTTACCCATGCGGTTAGTAAAGAATCTTGTGAATTTTCCGGCTGTTGTTAGACAATCTATTATTGACTCGTATGAAAAACTAAAATCTACGGACTATCGTCCAATTTATGAAATTTACGATAATCTAACTGGATTGGATCGTGTTAGATCCTTACATGTTGGAGTCGCTGAAGTAAGTCATGTTTTACGATTAAATCTTTCTACCAGCCAGTATTTTTCTGTAGATGAAATATAATGCCCCGATTCTCTTCCAGGAATAACGTGGTCACTCTCAGGCACAACAGTAATATACTTTACCCATGAAACAAGATGTAAATGGGTTCATCAACAAAAAACTGAATTTCGTTTGAAAATTCAAACCACTGCTGTACAGACTGCAATTCACTTTGGTTCGCTACTTGAATCGTAAATCAGCTGAGTAGTGGAAGTTTCTCTTCGTACTTTTTTGGTTGATTGTTGTACTGATGAAATGCCCTTCTCTCTTTGCTTTATTACGCGGTTTTCATAAAATGATACCGATATTTTTGCATGTTTGTGCTTTTCCTCAAATGTATAAAGCTTATGTTTTATTATCTTATCCTGATTTGTTCATATTTTTTATCCCATTTATATATAAGCGGGATATTGAATATTTAACGACATTTTCCTAATGCTTTTACTCTTTTCCTTCAAATTATAGGCTGAAAGAAACTTCGTACAGAAACAAGTCGAAAGAAGAGCTTGTCAAACGGAAGTGTTTCAGTTAGAAGAAGCTAGAAATCGAATTAACATACAACTAGATAGTGTTAAACGTAGTGATGAAAGTTTTTTGAAATTAGTTACAGAGTTGCATGAGGTAAATATTTATATTGGTTTCTTATCGTAATTATGTTTTGGTAAAGTGTTATGAATTACTCGATAAAGTTTGAAAGTTTAACTTTTTTAACTTAATGTAGGATGATTTAGTATGATCTAGCTAAGATATAGTAGTCAACTATGACTGATAGTTGATCAGATGACCTAGGTGTTTAATCCTACATGGTGCTTTATCAATCAGTCAATCATGTGCAACATTGAACTAAGCTAACATGAGCATTTGTTCAGTTTGTCACATCATATCATCACAGCGAGATAAAGCTATCAAAACAAATGCCAGAATAGTAGTAGTCAGTATAAGTGGTAGTACAAAACACTAGGAATCGAGGAACATTATCAAGATTTTTCAATCACTTATCTTGTCCACCGCTCAGAGCTTATTTATGTGTCGGCACTTACCAAAACTCCTTCCAGAAGTCAATGGCTATTATGGGGGCTGATACTATGTTTTGGTTTAGTTCCCCTTGGTCTTCTTCCAATTTACTCCTACGCCAGCAAACAGCATTTCGAAATAAGCGAATTCGATATTCACAGTTCAGATAAATGTTCACAATATTATCTGATTCACAAGTTTCAAATCCGTCACTTCAGATTACAGTGTCATCCACTTGATACTATGGTTGATTGCATCATAGTATTACTTACAAGTGGCTAGCATATAACTCATCTATAGGTAATACCTATTTTTTGAATTCTATTGTTTCCAACAGACAAACTAGTCAGTCACTCATAATCAACGTACGGCACGACACAAATGTTCGTCAACGCAAGTTCCCATACCACGTTAGCATAACCAGATGTAATGAATACGACAAATAACAAGATCCGAAATGGCAGTGTTATCAATGATGTGAATTATTAAACACTGGGAATATAGTTAGAAAATAATTGATAAGTTATCCATGAAGATCCGAAGGAAGATAAAGGTCGAATGCGTATTCATATGCGCCATTGGGGGGCATGTTACCCAATGTCCCCAACCACTTATCGCGGTTATCGGGTGGACTCTAACAGAGTAGTACCGCGTAAACTAGCGGTCATTGACTTCATAGACTAGTCCCAAGTCTTGATTTGGCTACCCTTATATTCCCTCAAAATTTCTTTTGGACAACCTATAAATATGACACAAGCGTACATAGAACAGATGAAATGTGGCTAGTGGTGGAGTCCAGGATATGGGCTGCAGCTTATTTGGGACTTCAAATGTATATACTTGCCACATCCCAGAGTTGATCAAATTATGAATAATGGAATAATTTAAAAAACTACATATTAAATCAGAAATTCGTACACATTGCACAAGTGTGTAACCATTCGGATTCAGTGGCTAACTGAATAACGCGTTAGCTCTTGAAGCGGAGGATTCTGAGTCTAAATCTCATCAACATCAGCCCCCAAATGCCCTGGTATGGCCGAGAGTTGGGTGAGCCTACCCTCCCTCTCGAAATGCCCTCGCACGGCCACGCGTATACAGCTTCTGCCAGGGAATTCCTACTCACTGCCTTCTCATGGCGGGGGTGTTGTTTACGAAATTGAGAGGACAAAAAGCGAATGTTCGGCTCCTTAACCGGATTCCAAACCAATGGTGCACATGGGCTCCAGTATCCTGTGGGAACAAATGGCGTATGAACCAATTGTTGGTCACCGGCTACCATAGGACTGCATCTCCTCACGATGCTCCACTGCCTTGTGGGTCAGACCTTTAGGTTAAAGGCTTGGGGTGTTGCCCCCTAAAAAACCACCTGCTTCGGTCTGGGCATCCGGTCAGTATCACAGCCTACACACAAATAGAATGAAATTTGTGTGGCGCTTATATATTTGGTGCCCCCTTGTACCAATGTTTATGTGTTCAGATAAAATAAATAAATAATAAGAAAATCAACTTTTCTCCACCATCTCAAAATCAAATGAGCTTAACCCGCTTCTTGTTGTTCGAAGGTAAGGGGATTTCGCCAAAAGTCAGGCTTCCACTGAGGAAAAACTCTATTTTCTCCACGAGTGTCTTCGTCAGCATGTTCTGCCAACAGGTGTAGGATCCAGACCACCAATTAACTGCCCAATGGGATGGAGAATAGCTGAGCAAAATAGAAGGCAAATGGTGCATCTAATTATATCTGATGCACGCTACATGATCCACAAATACCAACACATCATGGGTGTAAATAGAGCAAGAACAAACATTGATGCAGAATAGTATGAATTCATATTATTTCAAGGTTTCTCGTCAGCTGCTTACAAACCAAAATTGTGATAGAGTTTTTACATGGAGATAGTGTGAAACAATTGACATAAATGAGTGTAAATAACGTGATTACAATAATAACTATATATATATATGCTAGAAACAGGTCAGAGGTCAAAAGAGGGGGGTTAATCCAGGGTGGGTGGTGTAATAATTTAGTGAAGTTCATAAATTGTGTGATAATTGTAGAGATTAATGGAATTAAATAATGATAAGGTAGATTACGTAATAATAAATAAATAGGGTTTTGGAAAGTTAAGATGATTTAAGAGGATCAGGTGACGGAAATGTGTGAATAAAATTTTATTTTTATTTTTAGAATCAGGTAATAGGGGGGGAGTATAAATTATCTTAGAATAAGTAAATGAATAAAATAACCAAAACACAAAACAAACAGAAACAAAAAGATTACCAGGGTAGTGATAAGTGTATTAAAGTCTCTTTTTGGATGCATAAGTCCGGTTTCAGTTTCTTAATTGCAATGGCTTCAGCAAAGCGGAGAGTGGTAGTAGTTCTTTGTCTATTGATTATTTTAAACGCGTGCATAATATCGACGGTGTGCCCGGTGTCAAGTAGATGCCGAGCTATTGCACTGTTAAAAGCTTTAGTCCCTCGCAGCGTCAAGTTCTTCGGAATATGCTCAGAAATGCGAACCTGTACTCTTCTCTCAGTTCTTCCAATGTATGTGCTACGGCACGTACATGTGAATTGGTAAATGCAGTTGGAGCAACTGAGGGGAGAGGACTTGTCGATTTTCGTTTGCTTCAGTGAGCAGTGTGTTTTCCATAACGTCGTCAGTTTGGCTGCCGGGTAGGTCACTTTTAAAGCGGAATTAATTCTGTGATTGATAATTCCGGCGACTTCATCTCCTTTGAAGCGTAAGGATAGGAAGCAGGTTTTCTTTTCAACTGTATCATGCTTAATCGGAGGGTTTGTATTAGCATATTTGTGGATGAATTTATCCGGATATGCATTTTCACGTAGGCATTTGGTGATTGTAGTAATTTCTTCTTCGAGGCATTCTTTTGAGCAGATTTTTCGTGCGCGGTCAAAAAGGTTTCGCACAATACCCTTTTTATAACTCATTGGACAGAAGCTGTTAAAGTTGAGATAAACTCCGCTCCAAGTATTTTTGCGGTGAATGTGTCTTTGTAGTGTGCCGTCTGATGTTCGCCTAATTCCAATATCTAGGAAATGGAATTTATCATCAACTTCATGTTCCATGGTAAATTCTATATCTTTGTGTACTTTATTGAACAGACTAAGTTTTTGTCACGTTGCCTTAACGATGGCTGCTTCCCTCGCCACATTTTTAAAGCTGTCCGCGCCTGTAAAATACCTCCTTCGTTGAAAAATCTCCGACGTGTCACCAAATCCCAAATTGAATGCACTAAGGATCTTATCTCTAAACTTAAAATAGAATCCTTTGGTTATGACAAAATCGTTATGGATTTAAATATTGTATGTCGTATTAAACTTATTAACTTTATTCGTGATGTTCAGTCGAAAACCAGTCACAGATTCATGAAGACATTAACCAAAACACTTGTTAAAGAACAAAATCACGTGGCATTTCCTACCAATCCACGAAAATACATACAGAACTTATCTAATAAAAAACTAAATCGAATTGAAACTGAAGCACTCTGCCTTGGATTCAAATTTCATATCCCAAGGAAATGCAACAGAATAGACACTGAGACCCAGTTTGAATATTTATATCAACAACTGTCGGACTTTAAACCCATGAACGACGAAAAGCACAGTTGGTTTAAATCTAAATTAGTGGATATCACAAACCAGTATGTTACGACACCAATCCCACACTCAAGGGTGTTCACCGAAGACCACCATCAAGCATTGGAGAAACTTATTAAAGACGAAACAATAATGCTACTTCGTCCGGATAAGGGTTCCAGTGTAGTCATTCTTAATAGAGATGAATATATCAATAAGGTAATGACCATTTTAAATAACTCCACCAGATTTATCATTGATAATACCCAGAAAGACCTAACAGATGCGACAGAGAAACGTGTCTTAAGAAAGTTGAGAGAACTTGTTAAGAAAAATCTAATAGATAATCATACGTATAACGAACTTAAACCAAAAGGGTCACAATTGCCATACTTATATGGGCTACCCAAAACACATAAACCCGACGTCCCTATAAGACCAATATTATCGATGGCCAAATCACCTTTCCATAAACTTGCCCGCTGGCTTACTAGATGCTTGGGACCAATCCGCAAAAAACTAGCAGCCTACAGTTTGAAAGACAGCTTTGAATTTGTACAAAAACTTGAAAACCTTAATGTCTCTGACAAATTCATGGTTTCATTTGATGTCTCTTCGCTTTTCACAAATATCCCCTTGGAAGAAACAGCAGAGATCATATGTGAATATCCAGAACTCCTGCCTTTACCACCCCAGGAATTTAAACAACTCCTGTTTTTGTGTACAAAAAACATACAATTTAAATTTAACAATGTTTTGTACCGACAGATTGATGGAATAGCAATGGGCAGCCCTCTAGGCCCAATTCTTGCCGACATATTTATGGGACATCTGGAACAAAAGAAACTGAAGCACGCAATCGACAGTACCACACTCTACTGCAGATATATGGATGACACGTTCCTTGTCTGCAAAAATCACCAACACTCCATGTACCTACTTAGTCTGTTCAATAAAGTACACAAAGATATAGAATTTACCATGGAACATGAAGTTGATGATAAATTCCATTTCCTAGATATTGGAATTAGGCGAACATCAGACGGCACACTACAAAGACACATTCACCGCAAAAATACTTGGAGCGGAGTTTATCTCAACTTTAACAGCTTCTGTCCAATGAGTTATAAAAAGGGTATTGTGCGAAACCTTTTTGACCGCGCACGAAAAATCTGCTCAAAAGAATGCCTCGAAGAAGAAATTACTACAATCACCAAATGCCTACGTGAAAATGCATATCCGGATAAATTCATCCACAAATATGCTAATACAAACCCTCCGATTAAGCATGATACAGTTGAAAAGAAAACCTGCTTCCTATCCTTACGCTTCAAAGGAGATGAAGTCGCCGGAATTATCAATCACAGAATTAATTCCGCTTTAAAAGTGACCTACCCGGCAGCCAAACTGACGACGTTATGGAAAACACACTGCTCACTGAAGCAAACGAAAATCGACAAGTCCTCTCCCCTCAGTTGCTCCAACTGCATTTACCAATTCACATGTACGTGCCGTAGCACATACATTGGAAGAACTGAGAGAAGAGTACAGGTTCGCATTTCTGAGCATATTCCGAAGAACTTGACGCTGCGAGGGACTAAAGCTTTTAACAGTGCAATAGCTCGGCATCTACTTGACACCGGGCACACCGTCGATATTATGCACGCGTTTAAAATAATCAATAGACAAAGAACTACTACCACTCTCCGCTTTGCTGAAGCCATTGCAATTAAGAAACTGAAACCGGACTTATGCATCCAAAAAGAGACTTTAATACACTTATCACTACCCTGGTAATCTTTTTGTTTCTGTTTGTTTTGTGTTTTGGTTATTTTATTCATTTACTTATTCTAAGATAATTTATACTCCCCCCCTATTACCTGATTCTAAAAATAAAAATAAAATTTTATTCACACATTTCCGTCACCTGATCCTCTTAAATCATCTTAACTTTCCAAAACCCTATTTATTTATTATTACGTAATCTACCTTATCATTATTTAATTCCATTAATCTCTACAATTATCACACAATTTATGAACTTCACTAAATTATTACACCACCCACCCTGGATTAACCCCCCTCTTTTGACCTCTGACCTGTTTCTAGCATATATATATATAGTTATTATTGTAATCACGTTATTTACACTCATTTATGTCAATTGTTTCACACTATCTCCATGTAAAAACTCTATCACAATTTTGGTTTGTAAGCAGCTGACGAGAAACCTTGAAATAATATGAATTCATACTATTCTGCATCAATGTTTGTTCTTGCTTTATTTAAATTCATAAAGGGAACTAATTGCATGAAACATCATGGGTGATCGGAAGAGGATGCCAGAGATTATACTCACATCAAAACATTTGAAAATCTTGACAATAGCGATCTACATATCAAGCAGACGACACGAAGAACAAGGAAGGAACACTTTCAAGGAAAAACTAATGAAGATTTCAAAGCTACCCATAGAAGAATACACAAACAACTGAGTGGTCAACCTGTCTAAACAACCTCTGATGAACATGGAGGAACACTTCATCCGAAAATGACTGAACTACAATACAAGTGACGCTTCAAAAATAGAATTTTACGCTGCACTAGAGTCATCACTCAAAAAATCCGGAATAAATGAAGGGTCAACAGGAAATAAGACAAACCATAGTACCGCTAACTCAAAGGAAAAATGAAAACATCCAACTGACCGGACAAGAACAAAAAGGCTTAAAAAATCTCAGAACCAGAGAAGATATTGTCAAGCGGACAAAGGATGGACTACAATGAATATTGGACATGATAGAATATATCAGGAAAGCCGAGAAACTACTTGAGGACAAAAGAGCATATAAATCAGTGGACACAAGTCCAATCAAAAGGTTAGGCAAACGAATTTAAAGGACTTTAAACAAGCTCGTCAAAGCTGAACAAATATCAAACCAAGATCAATCGAAAATGAAATCCAGTGGACCATTACTCCCTCGACTCTACGGTAGGCTACAAATACACAAACCAAACATCCCACTACGTCCATTTCTATCACTCCCCAGAACCCCAACATACAATTTATCCAAATAAATCCCAAAAATATTGAAAAATTTAGTGGATCCATCCAATCACTCCATAAAATATCCCATACATTTCTCGAACAATGTTGAGGAGATTCAGATCAACAACGACAAACTGATAACATACTTTGGTGTAACAGCCTTATTCACCTCAACTGAATCAAGCCTAACAAAGGAAACTATTTTTCCTCCTCACCAATGACACAAAGTACATGAAGCGTCAAAGTCAAAGCTTACTAAAACTCATCCGTTTATGCTTAACAACACTATTTCAATTCAACAATAAAATCTACGAACAAACGAAAGGAGCACCGGTGGAACTATCAATATCAAGACTTATTACAGAAGCAATGCAGATACTGGAAGCCTCGGTCTTACCAGTTATCAAGCCAAAAATGCGGATCCGTTATGTGGACGATACATTCGTCACCATAAAAAAGGATGTGCTGGAAAGCACCTACAATCCGATCAACAATGTCTTCGATAACACAAAGTTGACAATGGAAAAGAAGTCCAACAACAAACTATCATTCTTAGATGTATTAATCACCAGAACCGACACAGGAAAACTGGGGACTCAAGTATATCGGAATCCGACCTGCACAGACCAGATTCTCGATTGCGGTAGCAACAACCCAAGAACTCACAAAGTCATTTGCGTCAACAATAACCAGTCAAGATCGAGGTCGATAGTACAAACTGTGAGGTATATGTGGAGAAATTCGAACATTTCACTTCTGCCTGGAGTTTATGTTGATGATGTTCAGAAGAACAATGAAAGCTAAACAACCAAACCATGTAGCTGACTAATCCTAAGTAAGGTGAAACCTGCATCCTAGATTCCTTTGCTAGCTACATCCCATATATTCTATACAAATGTTATATAATTTTGAAGTATTGAAATATAACGTTTCAAGTTTGCCAAACTACATCTACTCAGGGAGATAAAATTATTTAAATAAATGTCAGAGTATTAGAAGTAGTGATATTATTAACGGTAGTAAGAGAATGGATGAATGTGTTGATTAAAGAAAGTTATAACATAACTTTCAAAATTAAGATCACAGTAAAGAGGAAAGATGAATATATCTATGCTATTTCAACCGATTCTTGGTTATGTCATATTCATAGCATAAAACTCCAACTAGATAGTCTGCATAAATCTATACGCCTCAATCTAACAGTCAGCGATTTAATGGACTGATGCCATGTTTCGGTTCGACTGTCTCTAGCTTTCGTCCAACCTAGCATATCCAGGCAATTGATAGTTGAGCATATCTAATATGTATCCCAACCATTTCATTCGATAAAGATTCACCATCTCATCATTCAAATCAATTATTGTATTGAATGTTATTTCATTTTCTGACTAAAATGTATACCTATTTATGATTCTCTCATAATTTAAAAGATAAGTGAAGTGTGTCTTTTTCTTCTTCATATATAATCAATTGTAGCTTTCACGTCAACATCAACAAGCTCGTGATAAGTTAACATCTATTGAATTAGCTGAACAAGTAACATTTGAACAATTCTCTAGTATTCTACGTCATTCACAAGCTGAAGAACGCATTCAAGCTAGCCGAATGCGACAATGGACTGTTGGATTTAGTTTAGCTGCTGGTTTGGTTGGTTTTAGCGCTACATGGATACGTTTTCGTCAACTTGATAAGCAAAATGCATCATCACTTCGCCTAACTTCTGCTACTGGTCAGGTATGTTTATTTTACCTAGTTTATGCAGAATCGGTCAAGTTTTAGTGTGTATGTGTGAGGTTGAGCGATTTTTTTATAATGACTGTATGGTTTTGAAGCCATTCTTGTCTTAGCTAATCGGCAGGAAGACTGTATCAATCAAATGTATTTCGTAACAGAACTAAGAACAATCTGTCAGAATCCAATGATTTTAAGATTACTGGTTTTCCAAGTCCTATTATCGGTTTTCTTATTTCAGTGTTGTAGAACTGTCACCATATAACACTATAGGTCTGCGTGGGAGTTTATTCACAGAAAACGTTTCTCTTTAAGTCTTTCTCGTAGCCTTAAATAGTCATTACTCGTAAAATCTGATTTAATTAATTCGTTGAGGATTTGCGAAGGTAAAATTACAAACATACTATCACTATGGCCATTATGAACACGAAGTTGTATGAAAAAAATCGCCCTCTTTCGGCATTGCTACTCTACCAGGTTGTCTGCTATTCCAGTGAGAGATTACTTATTTACGCCTGTTACCCCTTCTGGAGGAGCATAGGCTGCCCACCAGCACTCTCCATCCAACCCCGTCCTGGGCAATACTTTCCAGTTGTTATTCATCCTTTTCATATCTGCTTCCAATCTGCGACACAATGTATTCCTTGGTCTTCCTCTTTTGCGTTTCTCTTCAGGATTCCAAGTTAGGACTTGTTTCGTGATGCAGTTCGGTGGTCTCCAGAACGTGTCCTATCCACTTTCATCGTCTTTTCCTAATTTCTGGAATCTGGTTCGTCCTTTCCCACAGTAGGCTGTTGGTGGTGGTATCCGACCAACCAACAATTATAAATATATCTCGTATTTTTTTTATAGTGAAGCATAAAAATAATCCGTTTTTGAATTTCCCACCAAAACCAGTCTCCTTGTTTCTGATTGGCTAATATTATCAGTATAGGGTTGTGGAGGTGGTTAAATTCTATCGATGTCACTAACTGATATAAGTTAGACAACCATCGTCCTAGTATGGGACTTTAGCAGGTCATAGTGAACGTAATGAGAGGCCGTCCAGTGCTTCCAGATTTTCGATTGTTGTCTAACTTAAATTAGTTCGTGATATCAATGAGTTTCGACAATTCCCACAATCCTATATTGATAATCATCATGTGTTCACCAGTGGATAGCTTCGAGAGAAAATTCCCTGAGGTCTAATGATAAGCCATGACGAGTGGAGTTCAACCGTATCAGCTGTGAGGACGTTACTTACCAAAGATGGTCGTCCAATGTCATTAATTGATTGAAATAAAAATTTTACGTCGTTGGAGGTCAGGGTTTCGAGTGCGAGTCCGAAGGTTTTGGGTCAGATGCCTGGTTGCGGGGTCGTGGATGTGCAGTGGTGAAGAGTCCCATACTGAAAGGAAACGGCCATCTAGTGTTTCTAGTTTTTCAATGATTGTCTATCTTACATCGGTTCATGGTATTAATAAAAGATTGTGATTAAAATCACAGTAATGCTTCTCATGTATTAATACCTGTATAAACAGAAGTTGATAACTTGGTAAACCTTCGTAGTGTCTTTTTATGTCTACCTATGGTAATAATTCCATTTATCTTCAATATGCACCAATTAGGAATTTATTCTTGTGCCTTCTATAGTGGAGATTTTATTTTTTGTTGTCTTTTATTTGTCTCATCTTAGCCAACTACTGAGTACTCCTTCCAAGATATAACTTCCAGTCTTCACTCATCCAATCAGGTAGGTTGCATTAATTTTTGTTTGTAGAGGGTAACTAATATTTTATGAAATTTGCATCTAATTTGAGGTTTAATAGCTGATGGACATGAAGAGCGTGTTAAAGTAGTTTTAGGTGGTTGACGAGAAACTTTGTCACTTGGATTAATGGCTAATACATTGCAACATGATCAATAAAATTCAATTTGCACTAAAGGATTGGATAGACATGACATCGGTCACTCTCTTCAGTTGATATTAGCTTATGATGATGATGTACCGAAAGGTTCTAGTCGTACTTTATACTTGTACTCATATACCTCACTATCAAATGATAGACGAGCAATTATAAACATGGCACATTGTTGTAGGACATTGATTGTGCATTCACATAAGATCTCAGCTTCCATGTCCTTTTCGGATTTAGAAAAACAATTTGTATATATATATATATATATATATATATATATATATATATTAATGATTTGTGTACTTGACTGATCAATTTTACCAATTACATCTTCCAAGCTATTCCTTAGTTTTCTCAACTGGATTTCTAGTTAAGCAAGCGTATAAGAAGCCTGGATATTGCAACCGATTGTCGTGGAGTGAGTGTAACAGATAAAAACCAAACTTCTTCTAATGTGACAATCTACATTTTCTCTACATCATATCGATCGGCAAGTCTTATGTAATTCCTAAGTTATGTTCATGTAGTTCAATACAATACAATATAAAGTCTCACCTCGGATTGTGACATAAGCTGGCATTCTCTATTTCTGAGAATATCATGATAGCTTCGGTAATGCAAGGAGTCCTATATTTTGTAATCACTACCCATAGGTTTATCTGAGTAACTGATATTAATTCATGATATAATCTCTCCCTTACAAGATCAGTTGTCTATTCACTTATTACTTTACGATTATATGTAATTCTTATTCTACATGCATAGAAGTATGTAATGTGTTTACATTGTAGAGATTGAAAACAACATTGGATGACTTAAATCAAATAAAAAATAATTTGAATGATGTAAGTTCTTGCTGTTAACTTCTTTTCTTTATATCATTTTAAAAAGTTGCGTCGATCGTGTGTACGTTTGATTTTCTTTAATCTTTCTCCCACAAATTTACGACTGAATTTTAACTTATTCATTCATTTAATGAAGCACTGGGTCATTGGTTGTCGTGTTCAACTTTTAATCGTTAAGTTTGTAGTCTGAAACTGCTCCACCTAATTCGGTGCAGTCAACTGAGTAGCAGTAGTGTGGTGTATGCTACTTACATCTGTCAGCATAAGTAGTATGTAAAACCAATCGAAAGTGGAAGACCTGGCAACAGAAGGTTAAGAAGATCGAGTTGAGGAGAATAAAAGGGAAGATAAAAAGGAATTGTGAACTGGAAGAATCATACTGAATATGAAAGACAAATGATGGAAATTTGCGAGTGATTCCTACATGTTACCAAGAGAGTGTGATTTTGTATTTAAATACATCACTTGTCCCCACCTGTGTTATCGTTCATTATAGTAGTAGTATAGTGAACGCTACTCACAAAACTGCTTATAAGTAGCATACAGTGGAGTGCTGCGTAGGAGTTGCTGCAATCGACAGTCGGAGATAGGAGTTTCAGAAGGCCTAAAGGGCGGCGAATTCGGGATAATTGTGAGACCAGAAGTGAAGCTATAGAAGATAGTCCACAACCAGCTTTGGTTGTGGAATACATTAAAGACTAAATGTATATATTTCATAAACAGTCAGTGTTCCCTCTAAATAAATGTGTGTGCCTTAAAGCCAAGTAAATCAATCTGTACATGTTAATTGAGTCATTGATCATTTAGGCGTTCAGTGTGGTTATAACACATAGAGATTAATTTCAATTCTCTTACCACATATCACTAGTGAACACTTTCCTCTACGCGTACACGATGTTAAATATTTGACCGCTTATCCAGGATTAAATAGATACAAAAAAACAATACTGTATATGGTGCACAAAAAAGGAGTCTATGAATGCAATTCTGCTGTAAAATGTGTACACCTTTCTGACAAGCACTTACTGGCACAACATTTAAATCTAGTGTTTCTTAATAATTGGTTCAAATCATCTATAGCCATACAAAATGTACATTGGGACTCCTCTCCATCTTCATTGGATTAAAGAGTCGATTAATATGATTGGCTTTGGCATAATGTCGCCTATAGTTCAGTTAGAATGATAGCTTAGTGGTTAAGCCATTCAACTTTCAGCCAATAAATCGTATATTTGAACTCCTTTCCACTTAATTCGATTTAACAACTGGATATTATCATCAACTCTCACATTTTAAATGAAACCTAAAGCCAAATACATGAATCTGTACCTGGTAAATTAGTTAATAGTTCAATGCATAAAGTTGTATTTGATAAATGAGTTACATTGTTCCAGTATCCTGCGGGTACGAATGGCGTATGAACCAATCGTTGGTCACCGGCTACCATGGGACTGCATCTCCTTACGATGCTCCACTGCCTTGTGGGTTAGACCTTTAGGTCAAAGGCTCGGGGAGTGGCCCCCTAAGATAACCACCTGCTTCGGTTTGGGCACCCGGGCAGTATCACAGCCCACACACAAATTGATGAACTCTTTATGCCTATGGAAATTACCTTTCTCGCTTTGAAAAACAAACAATTGATTCAGATTATTATCATTACAATTATTGTCATTATTAATACTAATATTATTATTACTACTATTATTGTCATGATTGTTATTATTATTATTATTATTATTATTATTATTATTATTATTATTATTATTATTATTTTCCACATTATTCACCCTCTTTTATACTTAGACAGCGGCTCGTCTTTGGTGGAAATTCGACTGTATCTAAACGTTCTCGAGTCACTGTCCGGTTGAAAATTGTATGTTACCACCGAATGCGAGAACTGAAGCAGTTTTTCTGAAACCACGTGCACCATTCAAACTGGCTGCCTTCAACGTTCGCACATTTATGCAGGTCGGACAACAGATAGGGCTGGCTATGTCTTTAGAAAGTCTTAATATTGATGTTTGTTGTCTATCCGAGACCCGTACTCAAGACTCTGGCGAAGTACTACAAATTCGATCTCCATCTGTCGCTTCAAAAAGCTTGTTTTACGTGCGCTTATCCGGGGACCCTGTGGCATCTTCGTCTGGTCTTGCTGGCGTTGGTGTCGCACTAAGCGCTAGAGCTGAGGCAGCACTAGTCGATTGGATCCCCATTAACAGTCGGTTATGTGCTGTCAGATTAGAAAGTTCCATCAAAGTGAGAAGAAATCGGCGTGAGAAACGATGTCTTTTCATCATCTCCGCCTATGCCCCGACAGATTGCAGCCCGGATGCAATCAAGGATGAGTTTTACCACCAGTTATCAGTTCTTCTCCAGAAAGTGCGTTCGACAGATATTGTAGTACTAGCCGGAGACTTGAATGCTCAGGTCGGGCGTCTAGGCACAGAAGAGAGTCGTTTAGGTGGCCGATGGGGACTCGTTGGTCGCAGGTCAGATAACGGGGACCGTCTACTGCAACTTTGCACAGACCACAACCTGTTTCTGGCTAGCACTAACTTTCGGCACAGTCATCGCCGATGTGCCACTTGGCGTCTTCCCTCTGCATCTCAAGCCTGGACTCAGATTGATCACATCGCGATCAGCTACCGCTGGCGTGGTTGTGTACAAGACTGCCGCTCCTTTTGGAGTACCTATCTGGACTCTGACCATGCCTTGGTCTGCGCCAATCTTGCCTTACTTTTCAGTGGACAACGAAGTGAACGCCATCAACGGATTGATATTAGCAAGCTGGTTGCAACTTCTGTTGCAAGTAAGTATCGAACTGAGCTAGCCTCTAGGCTAGCTACCACTCCACCGAAAAGTATAGATGAGCATTGGTTGCAATTGCATGACGCCATGAAAATGGCGGGAACAGTCAGTTGTGGGTTTGCGAAACGCCCCGCTTTTAAGCACTGGGTTTCTTCTGGTTCCTTACAACTCATTGAAGCCCGTCGGTCTACTCCGGGTGACCGTGAGTTTGACCATAAACGAAGGATGTTACGTGAGGAAATTGGGCAAAGCTTGCGTAAGGACCGAGAAGCCTGGTGGTCGATGCGTGCTAATGAGCTGGAAGCAGCAGCTGCATCTGGTAACTGCCGGAAGCTCTTCCAGCTCATCCGAGCCACTGGCAGCAAGAAGTCTGGTGTGAGTGAAACAATCTGCGAGGATGATGGGATGCCAATCACTAACATCCATCGACGTCTTGGACGATGGGCAGAATTTTTCGAAGGGCAGTTCAACTGGCCTGCTGCTCCGGCAACATCGGTCAGACTGTCCTGCCCTCCATGGCCGGTGACGACTGATCCACCAAACGAGGAGGAAGTCCGCAAGGAACTCCAACTATTGAAGCGTTACAAATCACCTGGCCCAGATGACTTACCTCCGGCTCTTTTTAAAGATGGTGGTGACTTTTTGACTAAGGAATTGACGACGTTGTTTACAAAGGTTTGGGAACTAGAGAGTGTACCAACGTCATGGAATGAGTCGATAGTTGTCCCTATCTTTAAAAAGGGTTCACGTCGTTCTTGTAACAACTATCGGGGGATAAGTCTACTTCCGATTGCGTCCAAGCTTTTGGCTTCCGTCATTCTTCGTAGGTTGTTCAAAACCCGAGAAAGATTGACTCGCGAGGAGCAGGCTGGGTTTCGTTCTGGTCGAGGATGTATTGATCATATCTTCACCCTCCGCCAAATGTTAGAACACCGCCATACTTTTCAAAGGCCAACAATCGTAGTGTTTCTTGACAACAGGGCTGCCTTCGATTCGTTGGATAGGACTGTTCTCTGGGATTGTCTATTGAAGAAGGGTGTGCCTGAGAAGTTTATTAACATCCTAAAAGCCCTGTATAAAAACACCTCAGGCAGAGTGAGGGCATACAACCACCTCTCTCCATTGTTCCATCCGAGCAGTGGGGTTAGGCAGGGTTGCCCAATCTCACCATTCCTCTTCAACTTTGTCATCGATGACATTCTGGAAACAGCTCTGATGAATGTAAGTAATGGTGGTGTGGATCTGTTGCCTGGAGAAAGACTTCTCGACCTTGAGTATGCGGACGATATTGTCTTACTGTGCGATAATGCCCAAGGCATGCAATCCGCACTTAATCAGTTGGCAATCAGTGTCCGTAGGTATGGTATGTGCTTTGCACCTTCCAAGTGCAAAGTACTTCTACAAGACTGGCAGGATTCTAATCCTGTACTCACCCTGGATGGTGAGCAGATAGAAGTAGTCGAGAAGTTCGTGTATCTGGGTAGCTGCATAAGTGCTGGTGGGGGTGTGAGTGATGAGATCAATGCACGAATAGTGAAAGCCAGAGCGGCTTATGCCAATCTGGGCCACCTTTGGCGCCTTCGTGATGTTAGTCTGGCTGTAAAAGGCCGGATCTACAACGCGTCGGTGAGAGCAGTTTTGCTATATGCTTGTGAAACCTGGCCTCTCCGAGTTGAGGACGTTAGACGACTCTCTGTGTTCGATCATCGCTGTCTCCGAAGGATTGCTGACATTCAGTGGCAACACCATGTCAGTAATGCAGAGGTTCGGCATCGTGTGTTCGGGCACAGAGATGATAACTCAATTGGTGTCACCATCTTGAAACACCGACTTCGGTGGCTTGGACATGTTCTACGAATGTCGTCCCAGAGAATTCCTCGTCGTGCATTATTTGCCGACTCTGGGACTGGTTGGAAGAAGCGGAGAGGTGGTCAGTGCATGACATGGTGTCGTGGCATGAAAGAAAGCTGCAAAGGACTGGCTTGTGTTGGTCCTTCACGACTCCCTGGTTGGGGTCCGAGAGATGGTGCTACACAGTGGCTAGAGACGTTATCAGATATGGCTCAGAATAGAAGCCAGTGGCGATCCTGCTGTAACCTTCTTTTACTTTCTTCATAAAAAGTGGTTGTGTCTCCTTTACCTGAAAGATTTCTTCTGATTGTACCTTTTCGTTCCGTCGTTACTACCACACTACCTTACTCCAATCTCTTCGTCATTGTTCTCTTTTTATTTTGCGTTCCTTAGTTTTTTTTTCTTTCTACTTCTCTTCGAATTCTCATTGTTTTGTGTGGCGCATATATATTGGCGCTCTCTTGTACCAATATTTATGTGTTCAAATAAAATAAAATAAAAATATGTTAAATAACTAATAGACTGATAATTATACTTAAGGTTGAATAAAAGAATTTAATTGAAAAATAAGAATTAGACAATATGAAATTAACTACTACAAACTAATCAAATAGCATTTAAATGGTTGACGACCAATCTGTTATAAATCCCGCTCAATCTAGGTTTTGTGTTATAGCTAACAATTGACAACAAGACGTAATTGTGTAATCTTCTGAATGAACTGATGTTCTCTTTTTGAGATTCTAGTAGTGTAACAGCATATATTTTTTTCCTGAAAACTCCAAATCACAAATTTCATATAGCGAGCTCTGTAATTTTTGAATTAAAATAGAGCACTCTTCCTATTCACTATTGATTTTTGAACTAACCTGAAGATGATCTTTTTGAAGTATCGATTTTTCGGTTTTTCAAGTTAATGGCTAGTCATTATTATTATTATTATTATTATTATTATTATTATTATTATTATTATTATTATTAGTAGTAGTAGTAGTAGTAGTAGTAGTAGTAGTAGTAGTAGTAGTAGTAGTAGTAGTAATAGTAGTAGTAGTAGCATCATTAGTATTGGTATTAGTACTTGAATCGTCTGTTATCCTCTTTTTAATCACTAGCTGATCAAAACACTGAAAGAAAATTTGAACGTGATGAATATGAATATTACAAAGGTAAATTGATCTTTACTCTTGTTTTTGTATAAAATTTGTTTGTTTGTTTGTTTGTTTATATATTTTCAATTTTAGGTATTTTTCTGCTTTAACTATCATTTTCATCATATTTATTGTGATAACATTGAAAAAGGTTATAAAGAATTGAAGAATATTGATTAGTTAATTGTAAAGTAGTAAGTGATTAGAGGTAATTGAGAAGAGATTCTGTTTAACCTGGGTTTTATGTTAATTATGTCTGTTGTAATTTTGAGCAAGTTGATTATTCCTTTAGGCATTTTTTCCCGTATCATCCAACTTCACAGTCAGAGATGTTATCGTCGAGCTGTTCGGTTCGCGACTGGTCTGTAGGGTTAAGATGTATTTATATGACATTGATTATTACTCAGAGATCAATCATTTGGAAATATCTCAGTTCTACCACCTTACGTCTTAACATAGTGAATGCGATATTAATTCCCTAGACTAATGGACACATTGAAACTTGGTCGATGGAATTCGATCTGCATTAAGAAGGGTTTTACACACGTAATATTGATCACTATCCAATGATCGATCAGTTGTAAATACTTTAGTAAAGTATTGTTCCATCCCAAGGTATAGGGATGAATTTGAGCAAATTTAGAAGTAGTATTGAGTAATTTTAACCAGATTTATCCGAACTACATGTGATATAAGTCGATGTTATTACAGGGAATGAAAGAAAAATCATAATGTATATACACCCTTTACCATGATTTATAGATTTATGAAGGTTTGTCTATACTACTTCAGCTGATTGTACTCCTTGGAAATATTATGATGTCCAATATAGTCCTTCAATCTTGACAACATCAACTTAACGTTACTTGGACAGTTCACGAATTGACTCTTATGGATGACACCTTATGATTACAAATGAATCTTCGAACACATCTGTATGCCTCCCTAATTGTCAGTTATAAATCGTAGTTCCTCGTTTTACGTACTTTCTAATGATAGGTATTACGATGAAATTCATTTTTAGCGTATTAAAAGTGATCTTTCTGTAGAGTTCTGCTACGAACTATGAAAATCTGCAAGTTAGATTGAACACAATACTACTTATCTGTTCTATCAGTGGACTCCTTCCTTCTTTACATCTCACTTTCCGGATAACAGTTTCGTCTGTTTGAACCATTCGACCGACATTTTCAAGCTGTAGTTTTAGAATTGACGTCATTTCAAAGTGAATGCCTAATAAATTGTTGTCATTGCACTCTTGATACTCCAGTGATCCTCTGGTATCCTCATTATTCAATGAATAATTAGTACATGATCTGTCTGCATTGGTACTGCTTTCTTTATCCAATACACAGTACAGCACTATACTACCTCATCCCATGAGACTGTGCTTTTTTGTAATTATTCAGTTTTCATAACCAGAAGTAGTGATAGTTCTGATTAGTCTAAAATCTTGCGAATACTGAATAATAGAATTATTGAAATTCCCAATGAATTGATCTAAAGTGATTATTTTAGTTTCAAATACACATGGCCTCTAAAACATGATGGGTTCATCGGTCAAGTATAGTTTCTTCAATTTGTTAAGCTTAGTTTTCAACAACAATTTTGGTAGGACTTACGTTTTGTTTTATCCAAACTATTTTTTTAACTAGACACTATAATATCTCCTTATCTTTCCATTTTACTACGGCTCTATTCAATCTCGTCTAGAAGTTCGTGTTGTCCTTTACCTATAAGAACAGGCCTTCAAATGTCGAAGGTGGGGAGATTCAGCTCGCTCGCTCTCGAAATGCTCTCATATAGAAAGTTGTTGTTTACAAAATTGGGAGTAAAAAAGCGGATGTACCGTACCTAGACTGTATTGGTGGTTACGGAGGGTCCACCTAAGGGAGTTGGGAAACTCCAACCCCAAGCTAGTAGTACACATGGGCTCCAAAATCCTGAGGAAATAAATAAGGTATAAACTTATTCTTGGCTACTGGTTACCATGGGACTGGGTCTCCTAACTTTGCTGCACTGCCTTGTGAATTAAACCTCTTAACTTAAAGCTCGCGGAGTGGTTCTTTAAGAAGACCACCGGAACAATAATATATCCCATAGGAAATTTTTTGTGGTGCATATATATGTTAGTCCCTCTTTGTACCAATGTTTATGTGTTTAAAATAAATAAATAAATCATAAAAAATATACGAATAGCGTAGCGATTAGACGACAGTTGATAGCTATAAGAAGAACGTTCTATGTAGCAAAGCTGTGATTAGCATTCATTGATAGAAATTCGTTTTGCCTATTTGTTAGATATAAGCTCTTTCTCCTGGTCATTCTTTTTGTGCTAACAGTTGACTGTTATTACTGAATTCATCACATGAGATGTGATTTTTTCCTTAAACATACGTTAATTGTTATTATTTATCATAGGGAATCATGAATGGACTCACTAATTCATTCACATCCAGATATTCCAACATGTCAATATATATATATATATATATATATATATATATATATATATATATATATATATATATATAGTCTTCCAGTTGTAATCGACCTCGGGTGTGTTATTCCAATGAATCTAACAATTTCACATGTTTCTGATATTCTATTAATATGTAATCTGATAAATTATGTTTTACTAATTAGACCACTATAATGAAGTTTTATATACTTCACTTTATTAAAAGGGTTTATATTTCATTTATTCTTGTCTCTTTTCATTTCTTAGTCATCTGATGTTAAGGATGGTCAATTATCTGTTGGCAATATGATTGCAGAAATTCCTAGTATTGGTGAAACAAAATATATGTATTATGCTTATGGAACTGGTATATTACTTTTGTCTACTTTCATATTATTCTTAATTAATAGATGAAAATGATATGGATATGAATACTTTTTTCTTGAACTACCTAGAAAGGGAAATAGATTAGTAGATAGTAGTGATGTTGGTGACCTGGAAACGTGATTTCGGAGCTCAACGGACAATTATTTGAAGTTGGTCATACACAACGTTTTTCTGAGTAGTATTTATTGTGTTAGCTGCACGCTTTAAAGGTCTTGATCACTTATTCACTCTCCTCCAAATGTTAGACCACTATCATACTTATTGCAGATCAACAGTCCTCATGTCTCTTGATATTAGGGTTGTCTCTGATTTGTTGGATAGAAACATAATTTGAGATTGTCTTCTAGGGAAGGATTTTTCTGTGAAGTTTATTAATATCTTGGAATCTCCATACACAAATACCCCAGGTAGAATGAGGGTATGCAACCACCTTTCTGGATTACAGGATTAACTGTAAAATGACTTTCCTACCTTCTGTATGCTAATAAGAGTGTCTTATTGTGCGATGACACGGAACTAATTCAATTGGTACTTGGTGTTTATAAATATAGCATGTGTCTTACGCCTTCCAAATCCGAAATACTTATTCATGATTAGTAGGAAGCTGAGTGCTGGTGTTGGCGTATCATGAGATCAATCTGTGCATAGTGAAAGCCAGAATGGCTTGTGACGATCTGAACCTTCTTCCGCTCTGCTGTAATGTTAGTTTGCCTATAAGGGCTCGGGTTTACGCGTCGGTGCGAGCTGTACTACTGTAAGCTTGTAGAACCTGGTCTCTACCAGCCGAGGATGTCCGGCGATTCTATGTGTTTGATCGTCGTAGGGATGGAAGGACTTCTGACGTCCAGTGGCAACAGAATGTCAGTTTGCCAATTTGTGTTCGGGTACTGGCCTCAGTGGTTTTGATTTGTTTTATGAATATCATCCTGATGTCCACCATATGTAACATTATTTGCTGATACTGAGCGCGGAAAGCGGAGGAGTGGTAATTTCATAACAGCCTAGTTGTATATGATTGCCATCTGTCGGTCCATCACAACTCTATTCGGTGTCCGAGACATGAATCAACTTCAGTGGCTTGAAATATTATCAGACATGGCTCAGAGTAGAAGCCAATGACAGTTGTCTTGTTTCGTTTTTCTACGTTGTTCATAAAAATGCGATGAAGTACAGTAACCAAGAGACGTTTCTCTTGGTTTTATTTTTGTCTGAAATATAACTCCTATTATATAGTATTTTCGTTCACGTGGTTGCTTATTTTGTTTGTACTCCTGTTCCCGCATTTACCTCTTCACAATATTATCTCCTTGCTTATGTTGCTTATACCCATCTTCTGCTGTCCAGTTGTAGCACACTGTCTGTATTAAATAGGTGAATTAAGTGACTTACTTCCAGTTAAGGAAATCCGTGGGGGCAAGGTGAGGTGTACTATGTCAAGGGCCGAGGTCTTATTCCTTTTTCCTACTGTTTTGAGAAGACAACACGTCTGCAGATTCTGCTTATCCGGTGGATTCAATTTTTGTCGTCTCATTCCTGTATAGTCGTCAGATTGACTTCGCACTCAGATTTTATGGTTTCCTTTTGATAGCTTTCCAGCCAACTTGCTAAACATGATAGGACCTAGGGGAATAAATATTCCATTCAACATAACTCGATTGAGCCATCGCCACGGGTAAGCTTATTCACCACATTAATTCACGGGCTACAATTGGGAAAACAGCATGAACGTCTGTAGACCAACCGGTTATTTGAAGTTTACTTATATGTTAACCTGGAAGAAACTTATTTGATCGTTATTAAATTTTAGATGTTTAACAAATTAGAAAGTTAATGAAATACATTTTGGTATAATCTGTAAGGTGATTAACAGCTCATTTTATTTTTAGACACGAAATTTCCTGATAAAACAAACAGAATATCTGGAAATGCTTTGACGAAAAACCATTTTTGAACGTTACATTTAACTAGGTATTATTAGAAAGGTTTGACTTGTTTCACTTAACTTTCTACTCATTGTTGTGTTTCGACTAACAGTAGCAACCAAGACGTGACATTCATATTGTTTGTAAGACTTCAAGTGAATTTGCCTGTACCTCGATGTTGATGTTCACATCGAGACTTGTACGAGGAAATTCAAACGCTTACGTATTATTTCCGCCGATTTTCAGAACCATAGATATTTGGATGTTTGCCTAGTTTGACTACTTTTAAATAAATAAGTAGGCAAACGTTTTTGTACAAATTAAGTTTGAGCGATTGGTAGTCCTGAGTATAAATATCCAAATTCTCAGGATGCAAAATCCACCGCTTCTAACTCATAATATTGTCAAATTCATTAATGTATACCTTGTTCTGACCTTTGTAAAATATCACAGTAATTATGGAGCTTGGTAATGAAGTTGTTGAAAACAATTGCTTGCTCAAATATTCTTTGTTTTCAGATTAATAAGAACACATCCACGTAGTATTTACCTTAAACAGTGCATCTTTCTTTGACTATCTACACACTATGATCCATTGACATTCAAAATATGCGAGTGTATTCAAGGATTTATTGGGTGCTTAAGGAGGAGATATACTTTATTGGATTCCGAAATTTCAGAATTGGCTATATATGTCTTAACTCTACTAGGCACTGACTAATCTCATTAATTAGAGATTGAAAGTTTTGATATCTGTCACATAGTCGATATTCAGTCTATTTACAGAACAGTATCTATATTACAGATGTTATGGAGAAAAACGTGACGTATATTTTAAACAATAAAGATAGCAAACGACTTGCTGAGTGTTACATTTGAAAATTAAACCTCTAGCAATAAACTGATCAGTTGTTGAGATTTATTTTCGTAATGTATTGATTTTCTCATTCCCTATTTTTTGTAGTACTCATTAGCAAGATATATTTGTACACCTGTGGAAACTGATTGTCATTACATTTATGTCACAGGAGCACCAAAATGGTTTGTCGATAGGTGCTAGCTAGCATAAAAGTCATCTACAGCTTCCTGATGCTTGCTTCTAACCACTTAGCACCAAAATAGTTACAGCTCAAAATTGATTCACTCAGGTTAGTGACTATATTACAACTATAGTCAGTGAGCCATAATGTAGGACAAGGCACATATGCATTGGCCAAGCTGCCATACCTCATTAGCACAACAAGATGAACACCGAATTCATAGCAGCAGTTACTTCAGTGGTAGTAATATATAAAAAAAGATTGCACATAAAGATGTGATACCGAGAGGAATTAGTTCGTTAAAGGTAAGGTATAATGTAATTTTCATCTCACGGTTTAAAGGAAGACAAAGTGTGTATACACCTACGCCATTATGATCGATTCTGAGCCATGTCACCCAGAGTCTCCAACCACTGGTTACGATAGTCTCGCGAACCTCAACTAATTAGTGTGCATCTACCAACATGGATCAGACCAGAAGTTAGTGGATTGATGCCACTACTTTCTTCTATCCGTCTCCAACACTAGTCAGCATTGCACACCGTGTAGGCATGCGTAATATGTGGCCAAATAATCCCAGTCGATGTAGATTCACAACCTCATCAACTGAATTACCATCATTCTCTAACACCCCGCGTCTATATTTACTGTTACTTACCGGATGATCCCGGAAGATGTGGGCAATATTTCTAAGACATCTGTTATCAAATACTAGTAGCTTACGAGTATTATCTACAAATAAAGTGGAAACATCCTACCAGTAGAAAAATCAGAGAACAATGTTCATAAAGCTTTTACATTAATAATGTTCCTATGGTCACTGGTGAATCATTTTGTAAAGTGATTCTTGGAATTCAGCTATGTTGGGTTTAAAGCCCAAATAATTGCACAATTTAACCAATTAACTTCAATTAGTAATATAAACCATCGGATCTCGACTCAGTTGTCTAATAGTCGGGTACACGCCATAAAACCTTCAGGATCTGCGATCTATTCCCGATAGGGTCATGGATACACAAACTGTGATTAAATAGCTGTTAAGTACTTCTTAATTTTCATTAGCTTTCTGACTAAAATAAACTCTTGATGTAAATCATAAACTTTGATAATCACATACCCTTTACTTTTATAATAAGACGTTGGTAAGTACTAAGTGGTCTATGGATGTACATCACAAGACTGTAGTGTTCCTTATTTTCTCCAATCTACATAAAATGTTAAAATATCTTATATACTTATTTTTAAGACTCATTAGAAATTTTCGTTATTATTCTCTGGTGTGAACAGAGAAACAAGGAGCCTTGACAAACTACGGAAGCTGTTTTTCGGGACGTTATTACATTTAATTCAAAGCTTGTAAAACAGTAACATTTAGTTTTGTCCCTAGTCTATTCTACAAATCCTAAGCTTTCGTTAGATGTATGATTCACTGTGATAGCCTTTTTTGTTCCAAAGCTATTGTAATTTAAACGTATTATTTTGTACTCTATTTTCTACACCAATCTCCAGTTTTGGACATAATTGTATTTTCCTAATTATTGTACGTTATGGTCGGGTTAGTCATCTATTTATTCATGGACCCTTTTCCATTAATCTGAAATCGGGGGATCGGGAACCAGATCGGAATCGAGAATAAATCGAGTAGTGTTCCAGTTGACTTGTTCTCTCTCACTCGCGTACTTCTCAGCCAATCAGGTGATAGGATGGTTTTCTTCTCTCTACCCCACTTCAAACTCACGCGTTCTAGCCTCATTGTTAAGCCGGTCAGCCTATCGAGTCAATGTCTTAATCCAGATTAGACAAGTTATCCTCAGCACTAAAAGTGGGTAGACAGATCAAGGACGTAACATTTTCCTTGCACAATCAAACAATATTATCTCCAATTTCCATAGTAATAACGTTCAGTAAGGATGTTGTATACAGTTCGCATGTAAAAAAGAAACCGAAAGAACGTTTAGTAAGAGTTACATATTTTTTCTTTAAAAAAGAAAACGAAACAAAACAAACAGTGCTCCTAAACTTGAAGAAAAATTAACACAAATAAAATCCCAAATTCAAGTTTATCATTATTTTCTCAAATGTAAAATATTACAAATTACATTTTTGCAATTTAGATTACAATGTATGGTTTCCTTTGTTTAACCGATAGTCCAACTAAACAGAACCTTATAAAGATTACCTTATGTTATTCCTTAAGTTGTATTCTTTCCTCACTTTCTGTCTCCTTCTTTTGAAAGAAAGTAAAGTCATAACAAATTTAGTGCAAATGAGATAGATTTGTGCATGTGTTTGTGTGTGTGTGTGTGCGCACGTATGTGTAAATGTGTGTATATGTATACAAAATGTCCCTATGTACGTGTATCTATGTATTTGTGTAGAATATTTCTCATTAATTTGATTATATAAATAATTATCAAAATTAGTGCACAACCATTAATTAGGAGAACTATTCTGTTCTGTTTGTTTGTTTGTCTGCTTTTTCTTGTAAATATTCATTAAAGATTTGTGTTTTAAAATGTACTCCTTAAATGTTCAATATATATTACAACTGTATATGAGCTACTTCCTTATAAATATTTAAGTAATATGTATATATCATGTACAATTTATAAAATGAGCATAATCATGTACTATAATAAACTTTACTGTGTCATTTTAAAGTATACACTGAATTGATGATGTTATTTTCTTTGTCATTTATGTACATGTTAGTTAAATGTATGAGTAATAATAGCTGAAGATTAATGAAATATAAAGTATAAACTGATGAGCAGATTTATATTCTTCATTCTAACAGAATTAATAATTCGTTTTTCTGTTATATTGTCATTCTAAAAAGATTAAAACAAACAAACAAAAAATGGTCAGTATAGGGGAATTCTCGGAGTTCTAGTAAGAAGCTATGACCAGTGGAGCTAATCCTTGTCGGTTAGAGACAGGTATGTACCTCAGTACAATGGAAGATGGTCGCTCAATTTCGTGGATTGGTTGACGTTAGTCACTAACATCATTGGATACCGGCTCAGTAGGTTAAGCGTTCGCATGCGGGACTGAAGACCCTGGGTTCGAATCCCGCGAGCGGGATCGTGAATACGCACTGCCGAGGAGTCCTACAATAGGACGAAACGGTCGTCCAGTACTTCCAGGTTTCTGACGGTGGTCTAACATCAATCGGTTCATGATCTCATTCAAAAACAAAAAATTCACATTGAAAAGAATCAAGAAAACAAAGTTCTTTTAATCTTATGAAGTGTATAGTTAATGAATACCTGTTTGATGTCTATCTGAAAAAGGATTCAAATCAATTGATTATTCGATCCTTGAACACATCATCAAATTTAAACACTTATCAACAACTAATTACAAAAAAAATAGATTAAAACTTCACAAGCTGACGAGTTTTAAAATCGAACAAAATACACTTGTTGGGTTTCACTACTAACCATCATACATCTTTACTTAGAATGCTTGGGACTTCAGCCAATCCATACAGGATGCATATATGCTAATATGAAAGTGATCAATTACGGTTGTAAACATCAATGAGAATATTCAAATAACTAATTTAAAAATGAACTAAACACTTAGTGTCAGTGGAATCATTAATAAAGATTAACTACAAAGGCAAAAGAGCTAACTTCACAAAGTTTAGGATGATAAATATTTACATAATTGAATCTATCACTGCATTAATTTTAAATATGATCTTTGTATAGAAAAACGACATGTTCAGTCTCTATATTAATCCGTAGTTTTAACATGCATCTGTAGTGACCTACTTTTATTAAGAGAACGCGATTGGTTTAATGGAAACTATTATTATAACCAATTATACCAGTGATTGTTTTACTGTACTTGTTAAACTGTAGTAAAAACATCCATTATCCTTCCGTTGATTTGTGCCTTGTACTCTCTTACGTTCGTCCACTGATTCCACTTGTATTTCTTTGGCACGATCTCGGTATTCTTTCGATACCAAGAGATCGCTAACAAATACATTTCGTTACAACCTGCAACCGCCGTCTGATTTCTGGTACTCAACCTCCTTGTAATGGTGTTCATAGTCAAACGCGACTTGACTCCACACTACACATACATTCTCATATTTTTCATCTATTTCAAACTTATCAAGTATAAACAATTCTCTTTTATATTTATCCCTTAAATTATGATTTCTCTTTTATTGCTTCTAGAATAATTACGTAATTACGTAACCCTTTGATAAGTCTAACTGCTTATATATATTTTTTTAGAAATGACGTAAAATATCTTTGTAATCTTTAACTACATTATTATATGATGTAACAATTCTTTAATTCTTATAGACTAATACATTCAACACATTCAAATAAAACTAGCATTTAACTGTCTTTGGTAATTTTATTCAATGATGTAACATTCGTTTATTTTATCATAGTCAGTCAGCTACAACATAGAACCAGGCACATATGTGCATCGGTCCAAGTTGCCATACCTCATTAACACAACAAGATGAACACCGAATTCATAGAAGCAGTTAATTCAATGATGGTAATATATAAAAGAAATATTGCATATAAGGATATAGTACAGGAAGAAAGAATTAGTTCATAGAAAGAAAAATATGAAGCAATTTTAATCTCATAGTTTAAAGGAAGATGGAGAGTGTATACACCGACACCATTATGATCGATTCTGAGCTATGTCACACAGAGTCTCTAACAATTGGTTACGATGGTCACGCAAACTCCAACCAAGTAGTCTCAAATCACCATCAACATGGCTCAAACCAGAAGTCAGTAACCTTGTGAACTGATAGCACGTTATGGTTTGGTCATCCCTAACTTTCTTCTGTATGTTTCTAACACTAGTCAGCATTGCGCGTCGTCGTAATCATAGATTATCAAATGTAAAATTACCTCTAATAAGTACAGTTTGAATTATGAATATTATGTACATTTCAAATTCGAATTTTTGTCACATTAAAATTATTACATTTTACTGGAAAGGAAGGTCTATGACAGAGTAGGTTGAAGGTTGTTGGTCGGCGGTCTATGCTTTACTGGAAGTAACAGGCTTAAGTAAGTAAGTACTAGTTAAAATCAATCTTGTAATATCTTCAAGAAACTTTGCTGGTTGAAATCATGAGTCAATTGAAGCTAGACCACCATGGAAAACCTGGAAGAACTGGGCGGCCGTTTCATCCTAGTACAGGACTCCTCGGCAGTGCGCATCCACGGTCACGCCCCCCGTGAGATTTGAACCCAGGACCTACCAGTCCCGTGCCAGGCGCTTAACCAACTAGTCCATTGAGCCGGCGGTGTTAATGTTTAACTTCAACCAATCCATGAAGTTGCGCCACCGTACACCATTGTCTTTAGTGAGTCCCTATCTCACAAGAGACCTGGTAGAACTCCACTGGTAACTGTTTCTCACTAGAACTCCAGGATATATCTCTTGAAGTCAGTCACTAGTGAGCAAAACTTCGTCAAAAAGTATCTATCTTTCTACATCATATTCAATTACTTATATTAATACCTTTTAATACATTTCAAAAATCTACATACTTTTATTTTATTATTATTATTTCAATGATTGTTGTATAAATTGTGATTGTATTTGATTATGTTGTAATTGATTTGTATCTAATTGTATTGTTTCTATTACTGGATTTATTGTACAATTAGGATTATGATAATCTATACCAAAATAAATAGTATCATCAAATGTAGATAATTTTTTATATTGAGATTGTAATGATAAATGATTAGATTTATTATTTATAAATTGTACATTTTTTATTGTACACCATTGATTATTATTTGGTTCATTAGTTGAATTATTATTATTATTATTATTATTATTGTTTTGAAATAGTATTACATCATCTTGGAGTTGAATTGAAGAATGGGGATAAGAATCTGTTAATTGATCTGAACAATATATTACTGAATTATTATTATTATTACTACTTATATTTGTTGTTGAATATGATGATGTAATGGATTCATGAATATTGCTCATAGTGCTTATACTCATATTATTGTTATTTCCATAATTATTAGTATCATTATTACTAATAGTAGTGACAGTGCTAGTAGTAGTAGTTGTTGTTGTTGTTGTATTACTACTATTAATACTACTTATCATTGTATGTGTTGGTTCCAATATAAACGCTGTTGTTGTTCTATTCAACAATCGATAATCATCATTTTGTCTAGAATTTTCTATTGATTTAAATGATGTAAATGTATTCGATGTAGTTATTGGTAATGTAGTATAACCTTTTAATGTATAATAATTAGATAAATTTTGTATTATTTTATTATCAGTAAATAATGTTTCATTTAAACATGAACAATGACTTGGAGTAGCCATTGTAGATGATGGTGAAATTTGATAATGTTGTAATTGATATTGTGATGGTTGTTGATGTTGTTGACATTGTGAATGATAAAGTTGATGTTGCTGATAAGGTTGTTGTTGTTGTTGTTGTTGTTGATGATGATGAAGATGATGACGATGATGTTGGTGTAATGGTAGATCATGAGGTAAAGATCTTTGTAATAATAAAGGATTAGCATATGAATGTTCATTTAACCAATATTTACAACAATCTTTAATATCCATTGTATATGGTTGATTATTATTATTACTACTATTACTATTACTACTACTACTAGTATTACTAACATTACTAGTATTATTATTATTATTATTATTCGTAATATGATTATCAACTGTTAAAAGACTTTTGAATATTTCATTATCTATTTGTTGATCTGATTGACATTGTGGTTTATGAATTATATATTGTGATATAGATGATTGTTTAATTGGATTATAATAATTTTTATCTATTTCTGTACAATGATTTTGTTTGATTGTTATTGATTTCGATTGTATTAATGAATTTCTTGTTTGATTTAAATGATGACGATATTTACGTGCTAATAACATACCCATTAAACCCATTAAAAAAGTTAATATACCAACTAAACTCATCATTAATAATATATGTAATGTATTTGAACAATATAATTCTCCACAAATTCTTGATGTAACTAAAAATTAAAACAAAATATTAAAATGTTATAATTTATTCATTGAATGATACTTGTTATATCTGGTCAATGCTGATTATTATGTCAGAAACTCTTATCATTTATATTGGAAACAAGGGACCTTTACAATTCCCATGATGAGAAAGTAAGAACACAAATACTGGTATAAGTGAAGATTTATTAACCCTAAAACACAACGACGACGACGACGAAAGTCAGTAATACATTCATCATCACATTGAATCAAAACGAAATTAATGTTCAACAAAACTCATAATGAGTAAATCAATCGAATTTTGACTTTTCTTTCCGTCATATCACAAAATATAAGATGAAACACACAATGAAGAAGTATATTTTATCATTGGTAATAGTTAAATTCAATTGATATGGTTTGCTCATATCTTTCGATTGATGTTTAGGACTGCAAATGATCAGTCACTAATTGGCGTATATGTATCCTGTGAGGATTACCTCAATATTGCTTTAAATCACAAGCATTATAAGCAGAAATGGATAATGGATAGCAGTGAAATTAAGGACACGCGTTTTGTCTTATTCGGGACTCGTCAGCTGTATGTACCGGCATCTTAGATTTAACATCCACTCGGCTACTCGAACCCAGTATCCAGATAAAATGAAACGCGCATCCTAGATTCCACTGCTAGCTACTATCCATCTTCGTTTAAAATGCTTGTGAATTAAGGCAGTACGCACAGCATGCATATATATCAGTAAGAGACTGATCAATCGCAGTCATAAACATATATGGGAAGATCCAAGTAACCAATACTAAGTAAATTTAAACTTTACCCTATTGCACAAGCAGGTGATTATCAGGACGCAGTAGCTAAATGGATAACGCGATGGCGTTTGAAGCGAACGGTACTGGATTCAAGTCCCACAGTGAACATCAACTCTGAGAATGCAAGTACTTCCAGCTGACGCGCGTCCTGGATTCCACACTGTATTCTTTCTTCGTCATTTATAGTGTCTTGTATACAGTATAATATTTCACTAACTTTAAAAGTCGTTTATTCATAGTCAAAACAAGGTCTGGTAGATATATATATATATATATATCTTACCACATAGAAATAGTCAGATCGGAAAGAGATTTGAAAAACGAGGAGTATTAATGGTAGTAAGAGAAAAATCAACTGAGATAAAATTAAGGAAAATAAAGAATTAATGAAAATGTAGAATAAATAAAGTTTCATTATTGAGATCAACTTTAATCTATGTCACTTATACTCTCAAACTGAAAATTATGATTATCAAGTTAAAAGCATACAAAAAGTCTATATCTTACTATTCGATTCAGGTGAATAAGTGTTAGTTTAATACTTCTTACTCTCTTCCAACCGATCACTGCGTCCACTAGTGATGTACTTTGCTGTATAAGGTAGTTAAGCATAATTAATATACGTCAAAACCAGTTAAAGGTAGTTTGAGCATAAATAGATAGAATCTAGCTAGTAGTGGATTCCAGGGTGCGCATTTTATACTATTCGGGGGCTCGTCAGCTAGTTGTATCTGCGTCTCCAAGTTGATGTTTACTCCGATATTTAGACCCAGTATCTTTCACTTCAAACTCTAACACGTTATCCATTAAGCTACTAAGTTCAAATGGCTACTCACTTGAGCAACAAGTATGAAATTCTGATGTTCCCGACTATTCCGTTATTGGCATTTTGACTTAAATTTTATCATTCTAGGCTAATGAGTCCTAACTAAGACGAAGCGCGCATCCTTGATTCCACTAAAAACCACATTCCATCTTTCCTATATAATCTTGTGTCATAATGGCTATATCGAAGCATTGTGCACAGGATGTATATATGCCAATTAAGAACGACTAGATTTCAGTTAAAATATTTACAACAGGACAAATGAAAACTCTTACGAATTTAATTGATAATTAATATTAGGTCAGTTACTACTATTAGAAGAACGATTTCCCATTACCAATAAAAATGTCCATCTAATAAAATAAGATTTCACAATAACTATTTTGTGTATTTTATTAAATCTTTGAAAGAGAAATACTAATGAAATTACTTATTAGACTATAGACGAAATTTTGCACAGGACTTGACTTGAGTTTCCATAGCTGTACAATAATTCTTTATTCTCAGTCGTCCTTTAACTAAGACCAGTTTGTGATTTAAACTATAAAATAAAATGTACCACTTGTTAGGTAAGTTTAATACACTTCTGTTTAACAACAATAATCAATTAACTTCAACAAATTTGGTGGTTATATTTTCAAACCAAGATCATATTGTGTTTTATAGCTGGATCATTTAATTACTAAGTTATAGCTCTTTGCTGGTTATCTAAAATAATCCAGTTCTGTTTAAATTTTGAAGTTTTCTGACGAAATATTTAAATCAGAATGGAGATTCGTGGAGGTTGTAGTAATTTTAACGAATGAATTCATGAGTCTTGCGTATGAGATAATAGAGGAGGAGTCCCATACTAGAACGAAACAGTTGTCCAGTGATTTCAAGTTTTCAGTGGTGGTATAGCTTAAACTGACTCATGAATTCAACTAGTAAAATACATAAGTACCAAAAAAAGCTTATATTAGGCTGTTTTTGACTTCTTTCTTTAACTACTTATAAAACTGTTATGCTTGACTTTCAATGTTATTTTGTCAATATAATATTCCTAATGCATTTAAATTAAAACAAAAAAATCTGATCAATGTTCAATTGAAGACATACCTTGTTTTTTCACTGGTAACTGACTACTTGGAATACTTTCAATTAAATATAATGGTATGGAACGTTGTATAATTCGTAGACTTGGTGGCAGAAATGTTATTCGAGGATTATTCAAACTTGATGTAGTTGAATCGCACGCAGAAGGCTATATTTATATGACAATGAAAATTACAATTATGATATAGTTAATAGATTAAGAGTTATTCTAATCGATGAGAACACCTTGAGTAATATTTCAAAATTAAATCGTTTAAAGATCGTAATCCTCACATATTGATTTCCATAGGGGTACCATTACAAATCAGGGAGCACTAGGCTGTTGTTGTGTCCCAACGTGGGACTCCTCAACTGTATTGATCCGTAACTGATGGAACCCGGAAACGTAGAGAGTGAAACTAATGTCACGTATGCCACGGTATGATCATTGTACTATATCACAAACTGATTGTAGGTGTAATCATAATGCTGGAAGTAGACCAAGTTGTTCTAATGGTTTAGTGCTTGCCACGAAACTCAAAATTCCTTGATTTGAAGGCTACCTTGGTCCTGGCTGTACCCTGCCGAGGAATCTCATACTAAAATAAAACAGTTGTCCACTGCACTCTGGTTTCTAATTTTAGCCAAGTGAGGTCAGTCTACAACAGGTTAAACCTAAGATATAAGCTAATCTAGACAAAATATCAAATGAAATAATCTATATTTTCCCATTTTAGATAAACTTATATCAATGTGATGCAAGACTGTATGAGAATTCTAAGAAAACGTAGGACAGTGAGTACATTCGCTCTGTAACAAATCAATCAATGTTCTTCAAATATCTACTCAAACATTTACATTGGAAAGTAAACCAACTTAAATAAGTCACTAGGTTTAGAGTAGTGTATTGAGCTAAGAGCTAAGAGTTAATTGAATCTCTTGAGAAACTTACTTCGGTACCAAAACTCTAGCGTATGGAATGACTTTGGAATCTATGACACATTGAATGAGAGAATTAATCAGACGATGGAAACACAGTTTCAGAAAATTTCGAAGTCTGATTGAAATGACGATAATATCAGTTGTATTGCTTTCACAAGGTACTAATTCGTGACAAGCATATATTCGATTTTCTACTCTTTTTTCATAATAGTTAATTAAAAGTGTTTCTATGTTTCATTGATCCCATAGAAACAGAGAAAACAGTGGAGATTTCTTTCTGATTTCCGGAACAATATTTCCAGTGTTATAGTGAATTATTTTCATGATGCAGTTTATTATTAAACATCCGGAAGCACATATAATAAAATATGTTTTTATGATAGGGATTAGAGATTAGTCATTTTAAAGCATAAAATGTTCTCCCACTTTTGGCTTCATATCCTTTATCTTTATAATATATGTATATAGTTAAAACTATCGGAATCCTCAGAGAATTCCCCAATGAAGTTATCAAAATCCACAGTAAAACTGAAAACATTTCGTTTTGATAAGATACACTTCAAAAATGTTTAGAAAACTGACATATTATATGTCACATGTTAATTGTATGATAAATTACGATGCTATTAGATTTGAAATACTATCGACATTTCTCGTTGGTCAAAGATTGTCAGCAGACCTATAAAAATACGATTATTTTCTGTATATAAACGAACCTTGCAGTAAAGTTAGTTTGGTAACTCAATGCATTCTTTGTATTGTTTGAGTTGTAAATATGGGAAAATTCCAAGGATTTAGAAAGTTTTGGTTGAGACCATGAATCAATTGATGTTAGACCACCGTTGGAAACCTGGAAGCACTGGACGGCCGTTTCGTCCTAGTATGGGACTCCTCAGTAGTGCGCATCCCCGATCCCGCACCCCGCGGGATTCGAACCCAGGACCTACTGGATTCGTGCCTGAGCACTTAACCATTAGACCACTGAGCCGGCATCCAATGGTGTTAGTGTCTAACATCAACCGATCCACGAAATTGCGCGACCAACTTCCATTGTACTGAGGTACATACCTGTCTCTCCCCGACACGGAATAGCTCCACTGGTCACGGCTTCGTGGATCGGTTGATGTTAGACACTAACACCATTGGGTGCCGGCTCAGTGGTCTAATGGTTAAGTGTTCAGGCACGAAGCCAGTAGGTCCCGGGTTCGAATCCCGCGGGGTGCGGGATCGTGGATGCGCACTGCTAAGGAGTCCCATACTAGGACGAAACGGCCGTCCAGTGCTTCCAGGTTTCCAACGGTGGTCTAACATCAATTGATTCATGATCTCAACCAAAACTTAATAATCTCCACAACCCCATACTGGTTTAGAAAGTGACTAAAAAGTCAGTATTAGACATTTGTGTAACAGACTTAACAGAGCTTATTCACATTTGACTGCATTACATAATCAAATAAACTGAAAACATCATAAAAATGTGCACAACTGAACAACGACAAAGCTTAATATAGAATTGTTACAATGAATAAGATATAAAATTGCACCTCAAGTGGATCCTTTTGTGGTTATTATAAAGCTAGGTGAGTTAGATGTTTCAGTTCTAGGGTTTACATATAGAACTGGACAGAAAAACTTTAGAAGATAACCAGTCACTAACAAAACGATCAGAACGAATAGTTTTAACTCTACAGTAATAACTATTATGCTCATTTCAATAAGATGTAGGCGTTAATGATGTTGTGTGGGGTGACATTAAAAGCTTTACAATTAAGTTTCGTGTTCAATGAACTTCAACAATAATAATTGAATGAGAATTTCTACTATAAATTTAACTGATAAGGTACCGCACAAAATTTTTTTGACTTTGTTTTCGCTTCCTCAGTAAATTATATCTAGGATATTCCATAAGAGAGTGCTAAATTATGTTAATTTAGTAATAAACACGATATCAATGAATTATGAAGTATAAATCTGTTTACCACTATTCCGAATTTTAATTCAGTCTACATAAAATCCTTCTTATTTTAGTTGTTATGTTATTTGGGACTGGGGGACAAAATATACTCATAATACTGGAAAAAATGATCCTCCCTGATGGATTCGAACACTTCATTCAGTATCATAATTTGAAACATTCTAGCCACAACTGACCTTCTGTAGAACTGAGATATTTACAAGTAATTGATCGCTGAGCAATGAATAATGCCATGTTTATCTACTCATTTAATATCAGATGGGTTTTGTGGATATTATAGTAATTTCAATGGTTAAGATCATGAGTCAGTTGGATGCCGGCTCAGTGGTCTAGTGGTTAAGTGCTAGCGTGAGAAACCAGTAGGTCCTGGGTTCGAATCTCGCGGAAGGCGAGGTCGTGGATGCACACTGCTGATGGGTCCCACAATAGGACGAGACGGCCGTCCAGTGCTTCCAGGTTTTCCATGGTGGTTTAGTTTCAACTGGCTCATGATCTTAACCATAATCATTGAATGTCGATCAAATTGCAATCCCATAAGAATCATCACTTCCCTTAAAATTACAAATATTTCATGTTGAATAATGTAAACTAATATGAAATTCAAGTTTAGAGTTTCTTGTCAATTACTTCTAGCTACCTTTCATCTCAACAACATGTACTTAGTGTTTCATCGGTTGAACTAATGAACAATTTAAATGATAGAATTAATCATCTATTTAAAGATTAAACGAACATGTCATATATCATTACTTAGTGATCAATTAATTGTACATGATTATGAATAAGTAAACTAATAATGCTTTAAAATAGAATTTTGTGTAATTTGCCAAGGATATTTAACAATTTAAAACATTGACTAAGGATACTTGGCGGCCTGCTTGAATATCTGGGCTACCTGTTCCTCCGATCTAGATATTTCATCAAATTATCTGTTTTATTATTTGTTTTAGCACATCATTATGTCGATTGTGCACACAATCTGTTCAGGCGCGTTTATGGAAAGTTTACAACCTTACGCTATACGTGATACAAAAAGATACAATCAGCGACATCATGGTGGCTGGCAATATGCATTGAAACGAATGAACATTAATCAAATGTGGATTACCGAACTCCTAACATCTAACCGGTCATCATTCAAAATTTATCGTCACAATAGATCAAGGTATAAGAAAAGGAAACTTGTTGAAATACTTTATGCTGAAAATTCTATGTTGTACCAAAAATATAATGTTGAATAAAGCTTCTAATAATAATAATAATAATAATAATAATAATAATAATAATTTTTCCTATATTCATTACCCATTACGTCAATGGTAAAGTAACATTAAGAATTCATTGTAACGTGGATATATATATAGTATCTATCAAAATGTGTATACAAGTTATTGAACTGACTATAAATAAAATGCAACTTTGTCAACAACAACAAAACTTATTTTTATATACATACGCATATTTCACAGGAAAGGACAATAATAAAATAAACAATTTTATGGTATATATAATATATATATCTTTAATACTATACAACGCACAGGAAATGAGTGAATGACAAGAAATGGAGTAAAGATATCAAATGAAAGTCAGTGTAATCGTTTGTTTTTTTTTGTTTGAAATATATATACCGCTATTTATAGATTAGACTTTTGTAAACTGGTTGTACTATATAACTGCCAAATATATATATATATATATATATATATACTCCATCACTTTGCATCCTCTTCACTATTGCCTAATATTCATGTTTTACTTTTACTCCTCTTCTGTTTTTTTTATTTATTGTACACTCTCTCTACCACTAACTGTATATATCTCTTTTATTCTTGTTTAGATTTTCATTGTTTATATATGTGTATTTATATAACTGTCCGTGAGTAGGTTATGTTTATCTCTGTGTAAGTGTGTTTGGGTGTGTAAGTGTGTTGTAGAGATATTCTATCGTAAATATTTTCAAAGTTATCATAAATGTAAATTTTTCTCATCATATCACTATTTTGTGTTCGCGTCAGTTTCCACCCCCACCCTTTTTTTAAATGAAATTTGTCATATTTATTTATTTATTTATACTAAGTGTTAGGTGAACAATTGTGGTTGAATGTATCACTATGAAGGCTTAAATGTTTATTACTCTATGTGTGTATATATGTTGTTGTACATTAATTATATTTATAGTACTACTACTACTACTTCTATTACTACTAATACTATACTACTACTACTGCTACTACTACTTAAATCATCCA